CACGCCGGCGGGACGCGCGACCCGCGGACCTCCTCCGCTCGTTCGCTCGCAACCCGCCTCCCCCGCCCCCTCCGCCCCGCGCACACACGCACACACCGCCGACCCCGGGAAATTGTTCCATATTGCGTATCGATAAGATCCGTATCTGCGGGCCGCGTTTTAACTTATGACGCAAGTTCAAGGATCGCGCGCGCCCGGGATTTAATCGCCATTTAATTACGCGCGTATATCGGTCCCCGCGGGCCGCCACTAATTCATTTAGATACGCGCCGCCGCCGCCGCCGTTTCTGCAATCTCAACGGCAAAAAGGGGTATAAAATGTCGTTGCGGCCGTACTGTGCGCCGTCGTCGTGCGTATACCGCGTCGTACTGGCCGCGCCGCCCGAAAGATAATACGAAATGCGTTTTGAAAAAAAAAAAAACAAAACCGAACCCTCCGCCCCCGCCCTCGGAAAACGTCGATGCCGCGCAATATACGGCCTCGGGGGCCGCGGACTCGCTGGGGGGGGGGAGGACACGACGATGGGGCCCGGGTCCGGGGGTCTCCGCGAAATGCCCCTTTACGAGGGCCCCTGCCGGTCGTAGTGTACAACACACAGCGAGTTTCTACGCTTAAACCCACGGCGAACCGAAACGCGTGGGTTCCAAAATTCGCCGATTTCCGACACGGTATTTGTACCGCGTGACCTTTGACGACGCATTTCGTTAAGATAACGTTCAACTCGAGCAACAGACGCCCCGTCATTTCAATTCTTCTGACTCGGGCCACGCCAAAGTTCTCGCTTTCCTGTTTCTCCGCAGCCGTTTGTTGTTTTGCCGGCCGATTAATCGCAGGCATTTTTCGATTACGACACGTTTCAAAAGCCTTTGGGTTTTCTTTGCTCTTCTGTACCGCGATCGTCCAGGATTCAAACGAAAACCGCACTCCGCACTCCTACACATTCAGGAACTTTTACCTCAACGAATCCGTGTGTACGCGCTTAAAACGCTTTTATCGGATTTCGCAAGGAAGCAGGCCGGTATGCTTTTCCACCGATCTTATCGGTCCGAAACGCCCGCGAAAACGGCTGTACCCCTTCGCCCCTTAAACGCAGTGTATCGGACACCGGGCCGGGCGAAAAACCGTATCGTTTATATTATCTGGTCGTCAAATGGTAAAAGGAAAAAAAAAAAAAAACAATTTTCGAATTTAACGCGGAAAGTCGTTTCCAAGACCTCGGGGAGTCTGTTCTGTATTCCTCAGCGATCGCGGAAAACCACCGTTTATCACAATCTAAGACCGTCCGCGGCTGCGGACCGACCGGACTCATTTCACGGTGGTACACGCGAGACGGGACACACTGTATAATGTAACTATACGATGTTGTTACGACGACGTTACACACTGCGCGCGGCCGACCCGACGAAATCTCGACCCGGGCCCGTGTCCGATTTTTCACGGCCATTGTGATTCGTTTCCAGAAACGACCGTGTGCTTGTGCCACAATATTTTTTTCGTTTACGAGCGCGCGCTCGCGCGCGCGCACACACACACACACACACACACACACACGCACACACACACCGTATATACATAACAGGCGCACGCTTTTCCGTCCATACGATGAGACGGGCCTTAACAATGGGTCGTATAATACATTATACATGTACAGGGTCTTCAAAACCGTACGTCGGTCCAATCGATTTCACCGAGCGAAACACGTAATTTTTTTTTTTCTTCGGAATATCCGCGTGAAAACCTTTTCGGAACCGCGGACATTTGGTCCCGGGTTGATTTTGTACAGTTTTCAACGGGGGCGAATTGCGTTTCGACAATATCGGCATAATGACGTGATTGTTGTTCAATCACTGTACAATAAACGTTATAATAGACTTACGCTTATTCCGCAAGTACCTACTATAAGGTACGTGTCATCGAGATTTATGAATTAATTTTCCATTACGGCGTGTATTATAATACGCATACACGTGCGCCGTTTAGACTGAAAAATAAAGGAGACAAAATTATAGGGAAAATGTCCACAATCGACACATGCTCTAAGACCAGAGGGATATTATTCTACGTCGTTACGTCGGTCTGACTTTTAGAGCCACTCTTACGTCCGGCGGCGTGAAACCGCTACCCCATATTATTTCGACTTTCAAACGACGACAACCTACGCGCCCGTGATACAATGCGACGATCCGATAAACGAGGTTTTAGTTCAAATTCATTTTGGTGTTGACATTTTTCGTTGCCGCCAACCCGTTGGCGAAACGTTTCGCCAAACTTTTATAAGTTTGCCGTTTCGTTTGGTAGGGGCAGAGTATAACGGCGGGGCGACACGAACAAAATTGTTCATAACATCGAATCGACTTGAAATTGTAAAGTCTGTATTTATTTATGCGTACATCTACAGAGTGGACAGAGCGGTCGTGTACATTTCGGTCGGACGGATGACTCCCCGGTATCAATACGTTCAACAGGAACTGTTCGCGAAGAAATCGAGGTATTAAACACACGTTTTAAATACTTGCGGATTTACATGAATTCAATCGGACACCCTTCACGTTAGTATAATAGTACAAAGCGATCTATCATTTTTATCGCGAATCAGCGGTTTCGGGGGGTTTTTTTTTTTGCCCCCCATCGTTATGTCGTTACATTGTTCAGGCTTTATTTCGACACGGGTTTTTAAATGTTTCCTACTATTCCATAGTCATTATACAAACCTTATACAAACGATCGTTAAATTACGATTTTCCTGTACACAGGCGGAAAGGGGGAAATCAATGTCATATCCCTGTGTAGACCTTTGCCTACGGTCCTTCGAACTGAACATTGCAAACTGCTGTGTAACAAACGACGGGATCAAATATGCGACGCATTGATATGGACATTCCATTTTTTTCTTCAAATCTGTGTTGAAAAGCAACAGTCGTTGTGTAAAGCGATTACGGTGCACGGAATTACGGAATAAGGGTGAAACAAGGAAATGGAAAAAAAAAACTATTTTTTTTTCATGAATTTCAACTGTGAAAATAAACCCCTACATTTGAAATAGCCGAGTTACGGGTACCTATTTAAATGTTTGATATTGTTTGTTGACATTTTTAAATTATTCGTTAACTTGATGACTTAAAATTATTTGGTACATTTTTTACATCTCGTGACATCTTTTAGCACTATTTTCAGTACCTACTTTGGAGGAGGGGCTATCCTCTTCCATTGCCGCCGTAACTCACTTTCTTTTCTTACGTAACTCGTCTCTTACAATTACAATTACAACTAATATCAAACGTTAATTAATTAAGACCGTCATTAAAAAATGCATAAAAAAAAAAAAAAATAAACCAAAAATAAAAATAATACCCAAAAAATATGGTCGCCATTTAAAAAAAAAAAAACAAAAAAAAATTGTTACACGCACGGGTGAAATTAAACGGCATAAAAACAGTTCGATTAGTCCGACAATTGTAAAATAAAGTTTTGTCGGGTACCGAAGAAAAAAAAACGAATAAAAAAAAAAAAAAAAAAAAAATACTCGA